ATTTTCCTGTATCAATGCAAGATCCCTAATCTGCATTAGAAAATGCCTGCAGATTGATGGATGAACCAGAACCAAAAAGTTTTTTGCAAAGGGAAGAGGAGACCATGACGAGGACTGCTTTTCAAATATCTAGGGAGATGATGAAGTGCTTAATATGTGGCAGCCTTGGCCGAGACATATATTGACTTGATTTATGTACTACAGATGTGATATTACGACGTGAAAGAGTTAAATATATCAATCTGCCAATTAATCTCCTATAATGAAAGGCATCTGGCAGCAAATCATCATCATGAATGACGAGGGCTATTTTTGGATCCATAGGGCTACTTAATGGTTTACAATCCAGATAACCCAGTTGAGGGGGAGATCCAACTTTTAAATGGTGTTCTTGGAATTCTTTCTTTCGACTATTTGTTGGTATGAACTGTTCATGTGTTTTGGCAACAAGAAATTACAAAAGCGAAGCATTTTATATTTGATAGCATAGGCAATCCAATCCGACAAAATGCATCCTGCTCAACTACAAAATAGTAAGATCACTCAATACAAGGAAATTGAACTATTTTTACAACCAGAAAATCTAGTCTGGTTACCTTGTCGATCGGAAGACAACTTTGAGTCACATTTCACTGCAGCTTCATCTTTCAGATTATATTTCCCATACTCTCAACTGTGATGAGTCAGAAAATGTAGTATTAGACACGGACAACCGGAGAGAGAAGGATGTATTGAAAGACAAGAAAATTCTCGGCATGCCTAATCAATAATGAAACACTCGTGAGCATGTTTGGCTAATCTTAAAAATCGGTAAGTTTGTTTCATAACATGTTTATAACTTACTTTTTTATTACTTTCAAGTAAAGAAGTCAACTACTTTCAAGGTATATCCTAGCTTATTGTCAAAATAACGAACTTAGTTCTAACTTTCACCAATAAAAAGATAATATAATTCAAACCTTGTTTGCTTAATAGTAAATTTACTCACAACAATTATTAGCCTAGCCAAACATGCTCTTCTCAAAGCACTCAAGAACTGATGATCGTTAAGCAGATAAAAGTATTTTGATGACAATATTCAACGAAGAACATAAATTCACTGAACTGCTCAATATAACAAATGCTACTTTCTTCATTATATGAAGGAAACTGGCAAGTGAACAAATTCTTGTCGATCTTGCTACATTGCAATAATGAAATATATTGCAATAAATTTTTACTCTTGTATTAAGTTCATGAGCAGATAATTACCATATACCTGAGCTATAGCATCAGGTTGCATCCTCCTGGCCTTGATATATTGCAAGGGGAAAAGACTGTACAGAAGTTGTCAGTGAGTGAACGAGCTGGTAATTAACGAGCACAGGACCGAAAATGTTGAACTTTGCGGCGCTACTGAAAGCAACTTCCGCATCAGAATTCCTCTTAAAGATAACTTTAGCACGGCCGGAATCACGATCAACTTCAGTCTTTGATTCCATCAATGGCCCAAAACGCTTGAAGATTCTAGTAAGACTGATTTCTGACGGAAGAGAATCTCTCTCTGCAAAGTTTAGTACAAGTTCCGCAGGCAACGACTCTTGCTTCCTCTTATTAACATCCTCGTTTGATTCCTCAGATGTCTTTCCAAGGTTCCCACTGGAATATCGCTTTCTAGAGTGCGGCCGGCGACCTGAATTTTGATATTTTTCCGGATCATATGGCACTGGCGGATATTGTCCTCCCCCATTCTCCCTAGCCTGCAAAAGTTGCTCCCCGGAATAGTTTTGGACAATCCTGTCCGTCCAATAAGAGTCATTCGCATCATCAAATTCAAATTCTCCGGTCCCATCAGCAGCAAGAGAAGCCTTTTTCTTTCTACCTCGCCGATTCAAAGCAATCAAACTTCTAAAACCTGTGAAGAAAGTAACATTTGATCTTAAATAGCTATGACCTTTACTGGGATCCTGTGCCGCCAGTTTAAGTTGTGATAGCTTCTCGTCTAGAGAAGAAAATTCTTCAGGAACAACCATACTTCCCTCTTCATGGGGCTCATTAATCTGTGGACCACTCTCAATTCCTGTTTGATCAATGTTACCTTTTGAACTTGACAATGTGGGAGCAGTCAACTGGCTTGCTACTCTACGGATGCATTCGCCAATTTTAAATGAAGGTTTAAGTGTTGGAGATATATTAGTAGATACTTTTGCAGCATGAACGATTCCCCTAGGATCTGATCCATCAGCAAAAGAATCAAGTGTTTTACGTTTCCTGCCAGAAGACGAGGAAATTGATTTGCTCGAATCTTTCGCATCTGGCTCACCTTCACCATCCGGGGAATATGCTATGTCACCCATTATTTCTTTGAAACTTCTCTCTTTCTTCCTCGGTTGCAAGCTATCCATCGGAGTGTCTTTCCGTTTATGGGAAGCAGCCTTGCCTAAGAAATCATCGACTGCATCACTTGATTGTGTGTGCGCATCATTTTCTAACAATTCTCCAGAGAAGACAAATTCAATCTGTGTATGCTGACCCTTATAACGACTATATGCCAACAACTGAGATTGGGCAATCACAAGATCCAGTCGATCAGCCCCATGAGATGCCGCCGATGCCAATTCCCTCACATAGTCCAAAAGCTTGGTGGGCTCAAAGGAAGTTGCTTTCGTAGATCGATCCACACCATATCTTCTACTTGATTCTTCACGTATACCAGTATTCTCTACAGTCTGGACATCAATCTTATCAAGGGCTTCACGTGGTATGCAAGGACAGGCCAAACCCAACTCTACTCGTCTAGAAACCTCTTCCAAGGCACTCTCAACTGCATTTTGAAATGCTTCTGAATTACTCTGCTTCTCAATCTGAGAAAAATGTGATCTAAAAGGCTTCAATACAGATAAATCATTCCAAGCAAAAGTTCGATCTCCAAAATAGGCTATCAAAAAGCAGTCTTTCTTGCAATATTTCATTGCCTTCTCTGAAGCATCAGCAGGATCAAAAATCTGTCCAGGCCACCAGGGATGGCTTCTGACTTTACCCCAGACTAGATCAGATACAGAAAGCTGACCTTCATTTTCTGCAAGCCATAGATATTGAGATCGGTTTGAGCTTACAGGTGACAAAAGTTCCTCATTTGATATCTTCGATTGGTCAGTCTCGGAAGAATGCTCTTCAATTCCTATTATTGGCTCCTTACAATCATCTTCCTCCACTTTATGACTTATGTCGTTGTCTTCTCTTTCCTGCTGCTCTTCCATAAATTTTGGTTCAGAAGCATTACCCAGCACAATATTGTTGCCACTTATCATGCCAGATCCATCTTCTGCTTCAACAGCCTGATTCTCCCCTTCAGTAGAAACCACATTGTACACGTAATTCGCCTCACTGTGATTTCCCTCTACCAGAGAAATGTCATCAGCAGCTAAGGGTATCTCCAACTGTTCATTTGCAACATCTAATCCAGTCATAATTTTATCCTCCGAAACCACCTCTATGTTAGCCCCTTTATTTGATATAGCATTATCGACTATATGACTCTTGATCTCATCCTTATCAAGAGCACGGGTGAACTGTTCAGTTATTTGGAAGGCACCCTCTTGTTTACCATCTTGAATGGATCTATTCTCTTCAACAAAGTTGCCAACCTCAACTTCAGCAACAACAGCAGAATCATTCACAATAACATCATCATCTGCCATTTGCACACCAGTCGTCTCAGTCTTTGACTTTTCACCTGTGGTGGAAACATATGTATTCTTGGAAGGAACATCAGAAGCGAGAATTTTAACAGTGCCCGGATGCTCGTACAAAGATTGCAAAGGAGCTTCAGCAATTATCTCTTTATCATCTTCTTGGATAAATGCATCTCTATCCAAATCTTTGTTGGAGTTTGCAACTTTCTGATCATTTATCACTTCAACCTCTGCTGTGGCAACAAGAGGTTGGTCTGTATACATTCCCGAGTCAGCTTGTACCAAATATTCATCTCCTAGAAGAGTTGAATTTGTTGTATTTGAGAAATTTACCTTTAATCCCGTCAAGATAGCTTGACTATTCATCACATCAGATTCACCTTTAACCTTGAGAAGCTTATCTTCATCTATCACATTATTATCACCCCCATCAGCAGATTCAGTTGGTTCATTGCATGACACTTTGTTTCTTTGTGCCAAGTCATTTTCAAAGTTCCCATTGCTCTTCAAGATTTTGTCATTGCTAGAGCAAGTCATATCTGACAAGTCAATGCCTGATCCTTCATCTTTGACATCCAGCACCCCATCAACGTCCATGGTCGTAACTTCCCCTCTTTCACTAACAAAAGTTTGTTCGTGAATAGACTCGGAACAAGCATGTGAAACACTATTATTTCCATGTCCTGTCCCTGAGTTCATGCTATCAAAATCTTTCAAGCCTAGATTATCATCCTTAGAATCAGAGATTATGTCATACGATTTAAGAATCGAATCCTCATTTAACCTGTCAATAACAGGGCCAACCACAAATGTCCCTGTGGGTAAAACGTCTCTTCCGCAAACTTGTGTTTCATGATCAGAAGCTAAAACATTGGAACTCGATGCCATCTGGGTCTTTTTAATCATGGGCTCCGAACCGTCATGAACTAAACCAACATCTCCAACGCTCTTATCGTTCCCATCAAAGGGAACTATATTGGGAACTTCACAACTCAGGTTAGGGGAAGCTTCCACATGTGCAACTTCACTGCCAGAAGTTGCATCAATCATCTCGTGAGAGGGTATAGAATTCATGATCAACGTATCATCACTTGCAACATTATCATCTAAGTGCAACATCTCTTCTTTGTGCACCGCAACATCTTCCTCCCCAACAGAAACTTCTACAGGATGATCCGAAACTTCCGGAGTTGCATTATTTGCACCATCTTTATCAGACGCTTCTTGTTTACTGCCCCCTTCTTCTCTAACCACAGCATCAGATTTCTCCATAACAACCTCATTCACAGGAATCCTCGCCTCATGATCTCCTTGTGACTCCACACCACAAACTGCATGTGCCCCACCATAAACAGACTCGCTAAACCTGACCTCTACTTCTTCTGCAATGTGGCTCAGTCCACTCAATGCCGTCTCTTCTCCCTCAACTTCCTCAACCTTATTTTCAGCCACTTCAGTTGAAGCATTTGTGACCTCCTGAAAATCATGCGTTGCAGCTTCATTTCTGTTATCTGATGTACAACCCCTCAACTCTCCAACTTCCCCTGACCCCAAATCACCCTCTTTAACATCACTGACTCGATCAACAAACACGTCAGACCCCACAACTTCGACCATTATCTCCCCTCCACCTCCCTCGCTATAAGACCCATCAATTTGATTCTCACATTCCAAATTTTCCATTAGGGTTTCATTTGGTAAAATAATACTCTCGGTGGGCTCTGAAATACCACTAATCACGGGACCCACATCTCCGTGCTCATCCTCCATAGTTACCAAATCTGAATCGAAATTTTAACTTCGTAAACAAAGAGAAGGCTTAATCTTGACAAGAATCTGAGACAATTACCATAAACCCTCACAGACTAAGAACATAGATCTACTATATATGCGTACATAATAAAGAAAATAGCTAGCATACATATTAGGTGAAAAATTTAGAAAACCCACATAGTTTAACTTGAGAATTACAGTGAAAAAATAATACCTTAGAGTGATGATTTCAGAAGTGCAAGCTGGGATTTTCAAGGGTTGATGCAGAGAGAGTTGGAAGTAATATTTTCGGTGATGTGTCGAAGAGTGTTCGAGTTGCGACACACTCGTGTTTGTAGCAAACAATTGAAGAAATCGTGCTTTCAATTGTTCGGGTTGTTCTCAACTTTATATCCCTTTTTAGCATTTGAGTTTTCAACTTTCATTTTTCAGAGCAGATTGATCCTTAGTAGTTTCCATCTAAAATAACTGTTTTATAATCATTTATTCAAAATAAATTTACTTTTTTCTTGTACACCAAATAACTTCACTTTTCGTATAAATAAAAGAGTGAACATAAAAAAAGAAAAAACCAATGTTTTGAAAATTGGACCGACAATTGACTTGGATAAGGAAGATGGTCGAGGGTCAAAGAATCGAATCGAGGTTAAACCCGGATTGACTTGAAAAGTAAATTAATTAGATGAATAAAATCTTATATAAATATATATACTATTTAAAAAATAATGAATTACAGTATAGATATATACTTTTTAAAAATTAATATTCAGTTTAAGAGTTTTTTTTTTAATTTTAACACGTGTTAATTATTTATTAATAATTATTTCATTAAATAAAAATTAAATGGATACATCTATAGAAATGAAGGCCCAATAAATATTATAACCTAGAAAGTCATCTAAAGAAGTCGATAGAAACTAGAGAACTTGAAAAAAAATACATGGTTGCTTCTCTTTCACTTTCTTTATCGACGGTTCTTCTTCTAGATTTCTTTGTGCTTTCTCTTTTCCTCTTCTTCTTCTTCTTCTTCAAGATAGTGAAAAACTTGGGAAAATCACATCTAGATCACCGGTCATTTTATCGAATTTTTACCAATTTCTGCATCACCAGATTACTGGTTATAATCAAATTGGTCATAGGTTTTCCGGTCTAATCGGCTAGGCTAGATCGATTTTATAAACATTTCTCTCCCACCCCCAATCAACCACTCCACTGTTGGCTCAATCTTGAATGAAGATCAATTGTTTTTTAAAAAAATCATCAAAAACTCTTCCCATAAGCTTTGAGCCCTGTTTGGTTGAGCTAAAAATAAATTTTAAGTAGATATTTTATAAAAGTTGATGAAATGTGTGGCAAAAAGTTGATAAAGATTGTAGATATCACGTAATTTTATAGTTAAAATTAATTATTGACTTTAACTTAAAATTTATCAATCTTTTAATTAAATTAAATAGGAGCTAAAATTTCAGTCACATATATGAAGAAGGATGGTCGATAGCACGATGCTAATGGATAAGGGGGGTGGCTATAAGGTTTGAGAACATGTGAGGATTTTTTCCATTTTCTTTTTCTTTTTCTAATTTTCCTTTATAATATATTTTTACTATCTAACTTTAGGTCAAAGTTATCTTTTCAATAAACTTGACACATATTTTGGAGTTTTGACAGAAAATAACAAAACAGGCCAATTGGTATTAAAAAGTAAATATCAAGAACTAAAAAATAAAAAAATAAAAAGTAAAAAAAGTTTAGAGACCTAAGTATCAACTTCCCCAAATTTTGTGGACCCCACCACAATTTACCCAAAATATATATGTTTTGAGCTCGAGATTGTGTTCTTTGACCTTAGTTTGGCTATTTTAAAAANGGACCCCACCACAATTTACCCAAAATATATATGTTTTGAGCTCGAGATTGTGTTCTTTGACCTTAGTTTGGCTATTTTAAAAATTTGCTAGCACGCGATTTTCTTCCTTTTTCTTCTCCTTTTATGTAGACAATAGACATTGAATATGTAGCATCAACGTCGGACCATATTTCATCAAAAGACGAAAAGGTTTTTACAGTTTGGTAATTCAATTTGAACGTAACTTGAGTTGAAAATATCAAATGTGAAATAAAATTAAAAAAATGTCATTTGATTCTATATACCTTTGTTATATTACGTGTCGATTTCCTTTCTTCATCATATGTATTCAAAAGAATAAGCTCACTCGGCCCCTAACATGTATTCTTGATTAAAAGATTGAGCGCACTTCAACAACATATTTTTCAAGTGGGTAAATATATTTATACTTATAACCTATATTACATTGTTGATCAAGTTGTCTTATTCAAGATTGGGCTACATTGAATGTTGGCGACATGGTAGACAAGATTTAAGTTGTTTTTTTTTTCCTTTAACAATGGGTAATCATGTATCGTCACGAACTATCTCGATCATAATTGGTCTTGTGGACCGAAAATCCTAGGATATGAAAATGAAAAAAAAAAACGAAAAAAAAATCCCATTTTTCTTATTCGAGATATCTGAGAAGCAGCCTTGCTGATTATTGATATCTGGTAGTGTCCTTGTTGAACTGGAATTGGGTGTTTTTTTATTTGATAAATTTGTTGTCTCATTATAACTGTAATAACCATAAAACTATGATAGATTTTCAGTAAGTGTGAAGTTCTCTTGAACATAAAATTCTCTTCTGTGTATTTTTGATTGGTTTGCATCTGGATAAGAAAGAACTATCGTAGTTCTTTCTGTTTGCTTATTATTTACCATAACTTAACTGGTCTTGAACAAGGTCATTTGATGTCTTCCAAGATAATCTGGTGAGGATTCGAGGATTGAATTGTCTTAATTCAATTAGAAGGATGATTATGCTATATAGAAGCAGAAAATGAAGGCGGTACTGGTTCAACAGAGTCTCTGAGGCTCTTGATGATCCAGCTACATTTTCGAATGCCTTAAAAAGTAAATTTCACTAAGTGTGTGTTTGGGAGTGATTCCACTCAAAATTTAATAAAAATTTTGACCGTTATACACGGTAAATGGGCCCAACATCTGCAAGGATATTGGCAAAAAAAGCGGACAAAAACTGCAGCTGTCTTTCACCTAGTGCTTGAAATGTCAAAAATGTCTTTGTAATGATGTGGAATTTAAAAAATGTAGGGACATCATGGTCTTTTCACTAAAATTTCTAATTAAACGGATGGTGCAGTCAAAAAATGCCGCAAATGTGGGCCCCATTTTCTATAGATAACAAATGGATTTCTCATTATAATTTGGAAAGAATCGCTCCCAAACACGTTAAAATTTAAGATATGAATGCAATTGCAAATGATTCAAAAAGGGCTAGGGACCTATATCGATTGAGTCATCTATGCAATCCCATTCCATAGTTATTCTTCACCATTACGAATAAGTCATCTATGCAATCTCATTCCATGTGTCCCAAACACATCATTGTTCAAATCTAGACAAATTGCAGCAACAATAATACAGTCTTATCAAGATAAAGCATCAAAATTTATCTAGTGATTGTGAACATTATATTTTAATCATGCTACAAAGCTTGACTCATTATACTCGACCTATCAAGTATACAAATCGTATCATTTGTTGTGCTCATGAAAACTTGGACTAATAACTCGAAATAAATTTACAAATAAACGATAAAATCAAATTAACATATCTATAACTTCGTTTCCAAAATTCTACACTAAGAGCACCAAACTAACAATTGACACACCGATTCGTTAAGATGAAAGTCCGACTAATGACCCGATGTTTGTAAATAAAAGCTTACTTTTCTTAAGGCCTAGCAAAACATGCCCACTGAAACTGAATACATAGATTTAAGGGAACATTGTTTCATACTTTGTACTTTAAAAATTTATTCAAAACAGTTGTATTAGGTTGTCTAAAATGCGTCGAATCAACTTAGAAATGGACGATATGCGATCTAATCTCGTTGATACAAACAATTTAGTAGAATCTAAATAACTTCGTAAATCATTGAGTCGAGCTATACATTTTTGAAGTAATGGGATATATCTAAAGAATGAAAAATGAATGCTCAATTTAAACAAAATTCAACGTTATTTCATGCAGTTCAATTAAGCCTCATAAAATATGAGAAACCATTACATGAAAATGTTATAATTCATGTTAAACATAGGTAATGAATGAATCTAATTAGCATTGATCCCCAAAAAAATAAAATGCAAAAGCTACTGCAGATTTGATAAATAATTTTTTCTGAGCAGCCACCACTCTCTCTTTGCCTTTTGCTAGCCAAATTTTAAAGCTTCATGCACCTGTTGCATCCTATAATTATTCCACAGCCAAGCAAACTGTATACATAATATAATGTCAAATCTATTAGTTTACAAATCATGTAGAGACTAACATGTTACAGCTCAGAAAAAGTACAACTTGTGAGAATAAATTACTAATCTTATTTTTTTCAAACTGTTTAATCTCTGATGACACCATACCACACTTCCACATGCTCATGTTCTGGTCACTTTGAAGCTTTGCATGTGATGTAAAGATTCTTGTGGTCTATTTTGTGTATTGAACATGTCCATGTATAATGTAAGTATCTGTTTTTAATACGGACGGTCATATATAATACTTGAAAATATTCTTATCGATGTGAAACGAACGTTGTATGATGGGAATTTATGCATTAGATGTGCAAAAACCTATCTTTAATATATGATTGATTGGACATAAGGACGACAAAATTATGAGACACGGTTACTTTTTCGATATATAGTTTATAACAACAATAAATTGACCTAATATCCATATGAATGGAAATAGTCGATCACATATCTTGGGAAGGAATAACAAACTATCAGGACATCGAGTAATGTAAGAATTCAAAAGCCAAGAAAATTAAAAAAATGGATTATTTTTTTCAAATAATCAATTCAATAAGTTTTGTAAGTAGAAATTGATTTATTCTTCACATTTTCACAGCCTGGTCAAAACAGAATTTTGACAATCCTTTGACCATGCCTAGCCCATTTATCTTTTGGCTTTCTAATAAGTCAGTATGATTTTAGTTGATACGATAAAAGTCGATGAAATATATGTAAAATATTGATAAAATTTGTTGGTGTCATAAAATATGTGATTGGATTTAACTGTTAATTTTGATTTAAATTTTTATGAACTCCTTTAGCTAAACTAAAACGGACTAAAATGTTGAGATTATTTACCTGCATTAGGAGCAGCAATAGATGTGGGCTTTGACATCAGTGCTGGAACTGTAGGGATTGGGCCAGCTACGGTTGGTGAGTAAATGCGGGCTGGAAGGCCCATTGTGTGTGAGTGATGGAAATGGTGGAGAGGGTACATGGGCATCAATGCATTTGAGCTCATCATGGGCTGACCCGGATATACTTGAGAGAGATGCCCATTCATGTAGGTCCCACCTGTGTATCCCACCTTCTGTATTGAGGAGGAAAAACAACAAAATATTCTATCAAATGTCATATATAATATTTGAGTTCTAATATGCAATTATTTCATACTATTTGTGAGAAATTAGTGTTTGGGTAGCATGTAGTCTCAAACCAAGTTTTAGCAAAACACAATCCCATTTAGGGAGTCAAATTGGCTCTTGAAACTCAAGCACATTATCCCATTTAGGGGTGGCAAACGGATTGAGTTAAAAATTCAAACTTATTTTGAGACGAAAGAAAACAATTTTCACGAAAGAAATAACTGAGTTGATTGGCTTATTTTATTGCTTTCTTCAAAACTGAGCTTGGCTTGACCCATGAGCGAAAATACAGAACTAAGTTTAGTTTGTAGGCACGAGCCAGATTCCACTGTCTAAGGGGCATGCCAGCTCGACTTGGCATAGCGGCCCCAAATTCCAAGTCTAGTTTTCAAATTTGCTCGCTTGGCATATTTAAAAATAAAGTCATCTTGAACTAATGTACATTCATCAAGCCAACTAGGCGTTGTCTAAGAGGCGAGCTAGATCGGTTCAACCTATCACCCACAAATTCACATAAAAGTGCATTTTACATGTGAGTTTATAACAAATAATATATGTGCAAAACATGCAATAAGTTAAATCTAAATTTGATTTTTGTCGACTAGATATTTGATAGATTCATACGAACACAATTTATTCATTTTTCTCATGACAACTAATATATTTGCAAAATGTGCAATTAAGCATATCGAAAACTCAATTTATTCAAATTAATAACAAATTACATTTGGTATAGAATGTGGTTTTACTTACATGATTGTAGTTCATGTCAGTTGCAATGTATGTTGGAGAATACCTAAAAAAGATAAATGTAATGTAAGTCGCAGGTGTAGTCGACCAGCCAATCAAATTATGACAGCGCATAAATACCCATAGACAGGAAAAGCTTGATGGTGCTGATGATGATAAAACATGGGAGGTGTAGGTGCTCCAGCTGGATAATAACATTGCACGTGATTCGCAGGTGCTGTTGACGTAGCCCTTGGTCCAACATTAACTCCTTCAAATTTTATGAAAATTATTAATTTAATAATAGAAATTCAGATAACATGAAGCTCTTGTTGGAGTCTCATTATTTGATAAAAATAAATTTTAAAATAATGAATTTTTGGAGGATATGTGGTTGAAAAATAGGAAAAAAAATTAAGTTTACATGTATTATTATTTTACTAAGAAAATAAATTATTGAAAAGAGTTTGAAGAAAAATATAATATTGAAAATGGGGATCAAACAAAGGCAAAAAGTTCAAGTTACCTTGCTGAGGAGGAGGAGGAGTGGAGGAGGAGGACCTAGGGCGGCGGGCGCCAAGCACCGCCAGATTGCAGTTGGCACGACGGCCGTTGATGATCGGCGTGGCGTCATCACAGGCTTTTTTAGCCGCCTCGGCATCCTTAAAAGTAACCTGTATATATAACAGAAAAAAAAATTAAAAATTAAAAGAATAAGTTATGATCCAATGCTACTAATATGCATACACCAGATTTTTACTCACAAAACCATAGCCCTTGGATCTGCCGGTGACCTTATCGGAGATGATAACAGCCTCCAAAATCTCACCATATTTGTCAAAGTGCTCTTTCATGGCTTCTCTGGGAGTTTCCCATGCTAAACCTCCGACAAACACTTTCGTCAACGTTGTGTCGCCCATTCCATTGTTGTTGCTCATCGTCATTCTCAAATTATATGCTTGAATATATTGTATGTATATGTTATACGTACACACACAGAGAGAGAGAGAGAGGGAGAGAGAGAGAGAGAATTCTCCAAAGAACCACCCAAAAACTTGTTGAATGTGAATATATCTATATGTGGGTTGGGGGCAAGAGGGAGTTTGTATATATATATATAAAGCAGGAGACAATGTGTGCGTGTATGTATACGTATATATACATATAATGGAGAAAATCAGAGGGACAGAAGAGCAGACAGTTGGCTGAATTCCTTGGTCATTCACTTAACTGTGTAAATTACAGTCAATTTTTTTATTTATTTTTATTTTTTTATTTATCAAATTATCTACTTTCACTTCCACTTCAGATTATGTCACCGATAAAAATTCATCTAACTGAGGGAAGAATCTTCAATAGTGCAACCTTCTAATGTCGAGGCTCCACCTCGACGGGTGGCCCACCACACACCCCAGTCGAGGTGGTGCACCCTAATAGGGCGGTCACACTACACCATTGATAATTCTCTCCTGGCTGAGCAGCAAAATCTAGCTGGCAATGCCATTTAGCAAGCCTCTCTGTGGATCCAATCTGTTGATCCAGTAACAAGTTTGCCTGCAAAAGTTAAAAAAGAGCAAGTTGGTATTTAACTTTTTTATTCTAATTTCAAAGTCATTTTACAATCAAAGAGTCAGTCTTAAGTCCCCATTAGATGGGCTAAATTTTATGAAGTTAGATTTTACTTCCGAATATAGAACGGAATGTCTAGAAATTTGAACTTGCATGTATTTTTATAAGAATAATTCTATTTACCACAATACTCTATGTGGCAATGAAGTTTACAGTCTACAAAATTAAATCTTTTAGCCAATTGTAGGCGGTTGACCCAAGTGCCACATAGACCGGTGGACTTAGATAACATTATTTAAATAAAAATATATTACAACTTCATTAACAATTGATGGTAGTCTGATCGTTATATAGACTGATATTTCCAAAGATTTGAACAACTTATAAAGTTAGTGACACATTCTGCAAGTATAACTGCAGTCATGTGGGGTCAGCTAATGAAATTTTGTGCTTTATTAAGTACGAGTCTTTATATAAGAAAAGATGAGTATGCTTGGGAAGCATTTAAAATGATTTAAATTATAAATAAATAGAGATGTGTGGTGAATAAATAGATGGTACCTGTGGATCCTTCGAAATTTGTGAATTATTAATTGTGAAAAAAATACATAAATTGATGAATTTTTTAGCTTATATTTTTCTAGTATAAAACAAATCAGGCTAAAAGATATGGCTATTTTTCTAAATATCCATTCCTTAAATTGTAAGTCTTTGATCTATGTTCGGCAATGTTTTCAAAGCTTATAAGCTTGTAAAAAAAATATTTTTTATTTACACAATCAGTAGGATATATTATTTTTATCTATACATTCCATAAGACTCATAATTTGCAAAAAGTTGCATGAAACTTTTTAATTTAGAGATGGAAATATGGCAGGTTCTAGCGGGACACTTATTTAAGCTTTTATTTTAATTTTTTTGTATATATTTTTTTGGGGCTTCAAATCTATTTTTTATTCTCAAATAATCTAAACGGTCGGATCGGGTCGGGAAGAGGCGAAGCGGGGAGCGTGACCCATAACCCATTCTGGCCTAGCTAGTCGACGGGACGAGAAATTCCCACCCCATTCCCATCCGAGTCCCACGAATCTCGAATCAGCTGAATTTGTAATCCCTAATCTCTTCCTAATCTATGAGACCAACTGCGTATACGAACAAAATGAGATCGTGACTAAACTAAGTGAGATGTTTGTGTTTGTCTCTATTCAAACATGTACTTAGGCGTTGTAACATGGTGTTATTTCTCTTCTTTTACCATGACCAGTATCGATAATATGAATAATGATTTAGCGTACGTGTATAGCACAACTATCGATGTGATTAATGAAATGACATGCTAAACTTTGTGACCTTCGTTATGTAATCCTATGTGTTATTTTTGTAAATTTTATTTGTGATTTCTAATATATCCGTCCATGTCTCTATTTTTGTAAAGTATATCTATAATCTCTGTTGATAATAGAAATTATTACATGAAACGATAGATTCTTCTAGTTACTACCATTAAAGGTTTGATTATTTGGCATAATTAGATTTTTATGTCAAGATGACTCCGGAGAAAATTCAAAAATTATTGCTCTATAAATCGAAACGAAGAAGGTAATATGGTTGAGAAAGTGAATAAAAAGGAAATTGTGAAAGAAATTCTAAATAGGATGGAATGGTCTGTTCCTCACTCCACATCAAGTAACAACGGTTTGTAAATAAATATTAAAAAATTTTGAGTTTTTAAATTTACGGATAATTTCCTCTTATCGTGATTCGGAAAAATATAAAATGAAATATTTATAATAAATTTAAATTAGTCATTTTTATAATAAATACCTGATTTGGAAAAAGTATATTTATCACCTGATTGGTGAGAATGGAAACTGAATGACATGGTTTGACCTAAATTTATTTAGGCACGGTTTGAGCCCCATTAATTTCTTGTAATATATTATGAAATAATAAATTGATGAAAATTATATGATTAAAAAAGAAGATTTTTTTTATTTGCGTATAATATTATTTTAACGAAAAATGTATGGTTGAAAATGAGTATTGTAGAAAAATAATGGAAAAGAATGAAAAAAATGGGACTCAAACAAGGGTTTAATGGAAAAATTAAATGCAGATCTTAATTATCACATTTAAAAATGGATATTTGATAAAGTGAAAAATTACTTGAACTAAGTATTTTCAAGATATCAATTCACAATTAAGATATAATTTTTCTTATCAAAAATCAGATATATTTAAAATTATAAATATTAATAATAATATTATAAATTTAAATTAATTTATATACCAACCCCTACCTCTATCCACCCCGACCAAATGAACCAAACCTTATATCCCCTCTCTCTCTCTCTCTCCCTCCCCACCCTTATTCTCTCATCTCTGTCATCATTGTCTAGCCACCACCATACTCGACGTCGTACCATCGATGATGATGGACACCACTTTAATAATGTTGCCACCAAGCTCACTCGTTGTCGTCTACGCCACTCCAACAATGGTCGATGTCACTGTTAGATATTTTTCATCATTTTTCATGTATTTATTTTTTGTTTTACGAATGATTTACCACTCGAACTAGTGTTTGCCTCTGCGCAATAGGGATCGACCTATTCAAACGGTTGCCTTAATTTCTATTAATTCTGGGCAAATTCTCGTTTACAAAACACATTAAAAAATTATTCTTCTTTCTTTCTTTTGGCATCAATCAGTTTTTTTCGAGTGTCTTCTTGGTTTGATCAAATAGTCACAATTTGAATCAAATGTCTCCATTGTATCCTGAGAGATATTTTCTATCATACCCCAGTTGTGAATTTGTTGGATAGGAGAGAAACATTTCTTAAAAGATAACGTTTTTTCGTGCCTTGGAGTTCATTAAATTTTCAGATTTCCCTACATTTTTCTCAACAGTTTTAAGAGATGTCTTCGTTTCAAGATCTGACAGTAAATGAATCTATGGCACCCTCAATTCAAGTCATGAATCAAGATTTGATTCGTCTTGATCGGTTTGAAGGACATAACTTCACGCGTTGGCAGGAGAAGGTTTTATTCTTCTTGACAGCAATCAAACTGTCCTACATTCTGAGTGATGATTTCGCGCCTATTCTAGAAGAAAAAGCAGATGATTCAGATGAATGCAAGAAGGAATTACAGGAACAGCGGAAGAAACGGAATGATGATGATTTTCTATGCAGAGGCCATATTCTGAATGCACTATCAGATTCTGTTTACAGCGCACATAGGACTATCGGAACAACAAAAGAATTGTGGCTAGCATTGGACAACAAGTATCGTATTGAAGAAGCAAGCAACCAGAAATGTAATTACTTTGATTTCAAGATGACGGACAGTAAGTTTGTTCTTGCCCAGGTACATGAATTACAACTTATTGTTAGTAATCTTAATAATGCTGAAATTGTCTTGCCTTGTGCATTTCAAGTTGGAGCCATTATTGCAAAATTACCAAGTTCATGGAATGGCTATAAAAAGAAACTCAAACATGATGAAACCAAGCATACCCTGGAATCCCTCATACGTCATTTGCGTATTGAGGAAGACTCTTGTAAACGAGAGAATAATGATCAAGCGGCAGAAAAGGCAAACATGGTTCAAGAAAATCATAAGGGTAACAAGAAGCGTAAAAACTCCAGTTCTAAGCAAAATTATGCAGAAACCTCTAAGAAAAAATTCAAGGGGGATTGTTTTTACTGCAAGAAATTTGGTCATACCGCTCGTGAATGCCAACATTGAATAAAAGACGAGAAGGCAAAGAACGAAAAAACAAAGAAGGATCAAGTAAATGTGACTGATGGAAATCAAGATCCAAACTTTGTTGCTGTGGTAGAAGAAGCCAACTCAGTCGGATTTGAAGTAGGATGATGGCTGGATACTGAAGCTACAATTCATGTAAGTAATGACAAATCTCAGTTCAAGACTTACAAAGAATGCACTGATGGAAGAGAAGTAAAAAATGGGTAACAATGTTTGTACAAAGCTGTTGGAATTGGATCAATTGAACTGAAATTCACTTCGGGAAAGAATCTGACTTTGGCAGAAGTTCTCCATGTGCCTGAAATGACCAAGAACTTGATTTCTGGGGATCGCCTTAACAAGGCAGGTTTTAAGCTTGTAATTGAGTCTGATAGCCTTATAGTATCTAAGAATAATGTATTTGTCGAAAAAGGTTACTCATGTAATGGTATGTTCAAAATGAATCTAATAAATGATAACTTTGCTTATACTGTTGATTCTTTACCGTTATGGCATACTAGATTAGGCCACAAATTATAAATCCATTAAGAACATGCATAATTTAGGAATTATTCCTAAATGTAAGTTTGATGATGTTAACAAATGTGATATATGTGTTCAATGTAAAATAACGTGTAAACCACATAAATCTGTTATGCGAACATCTGAATTACTTGGTCTTATACATTCTGATGTGGCTGATCTACATAGTAAAGTTTCACGTGGAGGGAACAAGTACTTTGTGACCTTTATAGATGATTTTTCGAAATATGCTTATGTATACTTACTAAAAAGTAAAGATGAAGTTTTAAGCATATTTCTTATTTATAAAGCAGTAGTGAAAAATCAATTAAATTGAAAAATTAAAGTCCTACGTTTTGATAGAAAAGGTGAATACCAAGTAGCAGAATTAGCAAAATTCTGTGAAACTAATGGCATAGTTCATAAGTTTACTCCACCATATTCGCCAGAATCAAACGGAGTAGTAGAAATGAAAAACAGGACTTCAGTTGAAATGGTGAATTGTATGCTTATTAGTTCTGGTTTACCTGATCAATGGTGGGGTGAAGCAATCTTAAGTGCATGTTATACTCCAAATAGGATTCCTATGAAGGAGATTAACAAAACTCCATATGAGTTGTGGTTCAACCGGAAACCTAATATTAGCCGTCTCAAAGTGTGGGGATGTCTCGCATATGTGAGAAAACCAAATCCAGAGATCACTAAATTAGGAAGTAAAACTTATAAATGTGTATTCATAAGTTATGCAAAAAATAGTACTGCTTATCGATTTCTGAAGTTAGAATCCTATGATGTTATCGAATCAATTGATGCTGAATTTTTTGAAAATATATACAAGTCTTCAACTATACAAACTGAAGATAATACTACTTCTAGTTCTTCTAAGAGAGTTCATGAAGAATCTCTTGACGATACTTCTATTGAACCACAATCGAAAATAGAACCTAGAAGGAGTAAGAGACAAAGGAAAGAAAAATCTTTCGAATCTGAATTTGTGATTTATTTGCTAGAAGGTGATGTAAATAATATTACACATCAGACTAAGCTAATGCTTAATGATGATAGTGATCCCATCACATATTCAGAAGCTATTTCCTCTCGAGATGTTGTACTTTGGAAAGAAGCAATCAATGATGAAATGAGACCCATTATGTCAAATCAAACATGGAAACTGGTTGATTTACCTCGGGGTTCTAAACCAATAGGTTGTAAATGGATTTTCAAGAGAAAATTAAATGCAGATAGTTCTATAAATAAGTATAAAGCTCGATTAGTAGCTAAAGATTTTAAACAACGCCATGGCATAGATTATTTTGATACTTATGCTCCCATAGCAAGGATATCTTCCATCCGCGTGTTGCTATCTCTTGCTTCAACTCACAATTTAGTTGTCCATCAAATGGATGTAAAAATGGCTTTTCTAAATGGTGATTTGAAGGAAGAAGTATATATACAGCAACCCGAGGGTTTTGTTTTACCTGAACAAGAAAAGAAGGTTTGTAAACTAGTCAAATCTCTATATGGTTTAAAACAAACCCCTATGCAATGGCATGAAAAATTTAATAAAGTAATGTTGTCTAACGGTTTTAAGGTTAATGAAGCAGATAAATGTATCTATTCTACCTGTAGAAATGGTACATGTACTCTTATTTGCTTATATGTAGATGACATGCTTATTTTTGGTCCTAACTTAGAAAGTGTTAAGGAGACCAAACAATTGCTAAAGTCTAACTTCAACATGAAGGATTTAGGCGAAGCAAATGTGATCTTAGGGATTAAAATAATAAGAAAAGATGGATGCATATTGCTGAATCAATCTCATTATATTGAAAATATCCTTAAAAGATATGGTCACATGGGTCATAAACCCGCATCAACTCCGATAGATCCTAGTATTAAGTTAATGAAAAATACTGGTAGATCTTATGACCACCTACAATATGCAAGTGTGATTGAAAGTCTTATGTATGCTATGCACTGCACAAGACCAGATATTGCATATGCAGTTGACATATTGTGTCGATTCACTAGTAATCCAGGAAAAGAACATTGGAATGTGGTTTCAAGAATCCTAAGGTACTTGAAAGGAACTATTGATTATGGATTACATTATTGTGGATTTCCCGCTGTACTTGAAGGATACAATGATGCAAGTTGGAACAACATAGAATTGAATTCTAAATCCACAACAGGTTGGATTTTTACTTTAGGAGGTGCAACTGTTTCTCGGTGTTCTAAGAAACAAACATGCGTCTCAGATTCGACTATGTTGGCAGAATTTATTGCTTTGGCTGATGCAAGTAAAGAAGCTGAATGGCTAAGAAATTTGCTAATTGATATCCCATTGTGGGAGAAACCATCTCCAGCTGTGATGATCTATTGTGATAGTAAAGTTACTTTGTATTCGATAACAAACAAGACTTACAATGGTAAGCAACGACATCTCAGTATTAGACATCAGTCTCTTCGAGGATTACTTAAGGAAGGAGTAATCACCGTTGAATATGTAGAGTCGAAGAATAACCTAGCAGATCCTTTGACAAAAGGATTGGCTAGAGAGATGATTGCGAAAACATCGAAAGGAATGAGATTGAGGTCTACATAACTTCAATTAGCTTTAATGGGAACCCTACTTATGTTTTAAAATATAAACAAAATTCAAAGGGTACAAACAAGTTAAAGTCTGACTTAGACGAGACACTAGAGTATTAGTTCAAACCCATTCATAAAATCTCTAGTGTATGTATTCTGCATGGTTGAGGATGGATTTAATTTCTTAATAAGTTCTATTGAGATAGAAAGTAACTCGCAGAATTACTTTATAAAGAACTTACATATGTAAGTGAGAAAGTCAGGCCGTTTTCTATGAGATTTAGACCGTCTCTAAAGCACTCATGAAATTCAGGATATACGCAAGGCCATTAATGCGTTGGTATAAAAGAGACACTCATTTTTATCGGAATAGTATGTGTAATGACTCCGGCTAGTCATGATAGAGTCCTTGGTTCAGGATTCGTTCACCATAGCACCTTGACAAAACTTTGAGTTGTTTACACTAAGTGAAAGTTCAAAGTCAAAAGCTACTTTCATTTATGTATGATTTCCTACGATGATGCCTTTTGTGTGTGTTTACATGAACTACAGTGGCTTGATCCCGTTAAGGGTACATAGGTAATCAATTTTTTTGTGATGCAGCCGCTTCATCTTTTCTAAATCAAAATTTTGAAAAATAGGGGGGATATGTTAGATATTTTTTTATCATTTTGCAAGTATTTATTTTTTGTTTTGCGAATGATTTGCCGTCCGGACTAGTGTTTGCCGCTGCGCAACGGAGATCGACCTTTTCAAATGGTTACCTCAATTTCTATAAATTTTGGGCGAATTCTCGTTTGCAAAACAAATTAAAAAATTATTCTTCTTTCTTTCTCTTGGCATCAATTAGTTCTTTTCGAGTGTCTTCTTGGTTTGATCAAATAGTCACAATTTGAATCAAACGTCTCCATTGTATCCTCAAAGAGATTTTCTGTCATACTCCAATTGTGACTTTGTTGGATATGGGAGAAACATCTCTTAAAAGATTACTTTTTTCGTGCCTTAGAGTTTATTAAGTTTTCAAATTTCCCTACATTTTTCTCAACAGTCACCATTGAAGAAACAGAGATGCCATCGACGCTGTTAGATGAGCGGTGATGTCGTCCCTCTCTATCTTTTTTCTGTCTCTCATTTCAGATATGCTGTTTGGGTAGTTGTTTTTTAGTGTTTTCTGTGGCAATTTTGTTAGTGTTTGGGCAACGATTGTTGTGCCTGTGATCTAATGTTTAGGCGGCGATGTTGGATTTTGTTGGTGATAGTGGTTTGTTGGTGTTTGGGCAATAATTGGTGTGCCTGCGATCTATGCTTAGGTAGGGAGGTGTTGGATCTTGTTAGTGGTTGTGGTGGTGGTGGAGATAGTTTTGAAATTGAAAATGGTAGTTTGTTGGAGGTGACAGTGATATTGGTGCGATGGTAAGGTGGAGCTGCTTTCAGTTTGGTGGGGCGGGTGGTAGAATTAAGAGTGTTTGTGACTAATAATTTGAAATTGTGATTAATAAATTAGATATCTTGTGATAAAAAATAACATGTTACCAGTAAAAAAATTGTGATCGATAAATAATATGTGACCTAAAATTTTGAAATGTGATTTACAAATTTTGTGATTTGTGACTGATAAATAAATTGTGATATATAGAATTTTTTATTGTGACCTATAATTTATTTATTTTTATTTGTGGCCGTGAAATAATGTTTAACTTATAAATTTTTTTTGTCTATGATCGAGAAATAATTTGTGACCTATTAATTCGATAATTTGTGAATTGTATAGAATTGTGTCTTTAATATATTCAATTAATAAAATATAATTATAATAAATTATTTCATAAATAAAATTTAATCTTTGAAATTTTAGACCTGGTTTCTTAGTTTTGAAATGGATCATA